TGACAAGACTTAGTAGCATACGTACTCTCTCCCTCTCACTTGTAAGGCCACCCCTTCATCTATAAAAGAGGATGTGCTCTCTCCCAATAGATAGATTCATTCAGTCGATTCAATCAGATCGATCAAGTTCACTTAACACATAGCGGAGCTCCCATCACTATCGACTCCTCTGACCAGAGTCCGACCGGACCTCTCGTTCACCCCATCTTTCTCCTTCTCATTTGTAACTCCACTGCAAACTTCGAGCACCTGGGCTCAGGAATAAAGTCACCGACCGACTCAAACTGGACGTAGGGCATGTTGCCTGAACCAGTATAACCCTGTGTCATTGAGTGCTAGGCCACCTCCGATCACAACGTACGACAAAACTACAAATATTTACGTGTTGGTCACTTTCTACACCGACAGCGGGCGAGCACGGCACGGCGACGCAGAGCGGCCGCGCGTGGTGACCGCACGCATAGGCCAGACAGCTCGAGACTGTGTTTGTGCATAGATTTTAAAGCGTCTCTCAACACTAATCCAATAAACCACCTTGACCAAGCTGAACGAGGTACAACAGGCTACCATAAGGAGCAAAAACATAGCACTGACCTTTAAATAATTTTTTCAGAATTAATTCACCAACATAGCATTGCCATACTGTTATTGGATTTAAGAATTTTTCTAGGTCTTGAGCTGAATTTGATTTTAAGTTGCATTTTAGGCTATTAGAAATGTTAGCTAGCAATGTTATTTTTCTATAGCAAGTATTTCATTGTCATCTACAAAGTTTGTACTTCAAACTTTATTTAAGCATCACACACATGTTCTATAGTATTTTATTCCATAAAAATTGGTTTAAAACCCTACTTGATAATTGCCTAAGTTATGGAATAGCTTCTCGTTTATCATTTTTATTGATCATTTTAGGTTGCAATACTTCATTTATTCATTCTATCACATGTATTATCACGTAAACATGATGCTCATGACATTGTTTAGTAATTTATTTAGGGCGTAACACCGAGGGTGTTACAAATACCAATTAGCCGCCGAACCATCAAGTGAGCGGTCGACACAACGGGAACTAGCGTGTTGGTAAGCACGTGAACCTTAGGATAAAATCACCATGTCAACCTTGTCTTCTCGTTGGTTTGCATCATCTTTACACAAGCTTGTATTTACTTTCAAACACCTGTGCTTGTGTAGTTGCTCTAGTAATTAGTTGACTTGTGTAGTTGGCTAGTTACCTTCTTGCTTGTGTAGCATAGAAGTAGCTCCCTTGTGTGGCTAATTTAGTTTGAGTAACCTTGTTAGTCACATTGCTTAGTTTGTGTAGCTAAGTAATTTACGCTCTCTAATTTGGCTTGTGTAGCCTTGTTATTGAGCATTGCTAGTGAGCTTAGGTGGCTCTGTGCTTTTGCTTACTAGATTATGTAGGAGCTCCTCGGTTGCTTGAGTACTAGTTGCATAGGTTTGTGTGACATTGCTACTGGAATTGATTAGGTGAGCTCTAGCTAGCTCGACACTTTTATTGCCTAATAAGGATCTTCTAAGATGCTTATAAACTTAGATAGAAGGGTGTAGTCTTGGCTACACCATTAGTTTTAATTCTGTATTTATTTCGGTTAGCTGGTATGATTAATTTTAGAAAGGACTATTTTCCCCCCTCTAATCCGCCATCTCGACCCTACACCCTCCTTGATTTTACGTCAAGCTCCGCCGCTGATGACCGCTAATCTTGTCCATAATCATCGTACCAAGCATGTTAAGATGGGCATCCACCTTTTTCATGATAAGCTGACTTTAGGATAAGTTCATGTGCTGCATGTCTGAAAGGACCGAGGATATCGCCTAGATGAGGGTGAATAGGCATTTCTAAAAATTAACACCTTCAAATGCAGAAACGATTAGTATTGGAATTTTCTATAACTCGGAAATTCTAAATCAGAGAAAGTAAACCCCTCACGAGTTAACCACAGAGTATATAACATGTACTAAATAAGTCCAAGAGCCATAAGCCTGCAACACAAGAGTTAGAGCAAAGAACAGATAAAAACAACGCAGGCTCCAAATACCAGACACGTCCGGTATTGATACCGAATAGGTCCAATATTCATGGGTTCGTCAGCTTAGTCCCCCAACTTACTTATTTTGATTTTGCTTTTTGATCCAGGCTGTAGGTACCTACTGGAGAATAAAATGACAGAGAGCCTGCACAATAACTCGAATACCACAAGTGAAACACAAATATCAAATGAAGACAAATTGAGATACGATATTTGTTTTACAGAAGTCAGAGTCTGTTGAGTCCTACTCTCCATTGAGGGGGCTACGAGCGACCCAGCGAAGGTTAGCTCTAGAGGACCATGAAGGCCACTCTAGCCGGAGTCTATTTCAACTCCTTTTCCTCCTTCCACTAGTTGATCCCTTCTCTTGCGACAGTGGAATCGAACCGTTACAAACTTTCCGAGACACACCATAATCTCTTGGGTGCTCTCCGGCAATGTCTAGTCGTTTGGGACCAAAGAGTCCAAGAGTAACAAATGCAAATCAGGAGATCGACAAATATGCTCAAATGCTCAAGGATGTCTTGCTCTCTATTTTGAATCTCACTCAACCCATAAGATGAATTTTGCAAAATGGATCAATCAATCACTAAGAGAAGGTTGGAGAGTGTTCTCAAGGCTCAAAAAATGTGTATAGAAGTCAGCAGAATCAGCAGCCTCCAAAGATGAAGACTTGGGGGTATTTATAGACCCCACTAAAAAACTAGCCGTTTTCTAGCCGTTGAAATACCGAACACGTCCGGTATTGCTAGCACAATACTAAAAATAGGACCGTTAGAAGCTGCACGAGCCATCGGAACTCCCGACTCTTGCCAGGACTTCCGACTCTCAGAACTCCCTACTCTTGTCGAGACTTCCGATGAACCAAACCGAGAACACCAAGAAAGTTGCTGCGGTCAGGCCAATAACGGACACGTCCAGGATTTCTAGCCACAACAAGGTCAAGTTAGTTCTAGTGTCTCTCTCTCACTCACACTTCACATAGGTTGGCTTGAGCACTTATGAATAACCATCTATCAACATGATGCATCCCTCTTAATAGCACGACATACCTATTTACTCAAGATCAAATGAAAACGGATTTTGTAGCGCTTGAGTTGATTTCCTTCAAACCAAATGCCTTAGCTTCTCAATCTTCATCAAGTGAGGATGTCACCATGTCAATTTTGATTTTCTTCTTAAGCATAGCCATCTTGAGCACGTGATTTGATTCCATTAAATGAATATGAGTTAACTTCAAATGTATCAAGTCACTTCCAACGATTTATCCAATATATTTGATCCTCCACTTCAATGTGACCATCATAATTTGATTAGTATCTCAACTAAATACAAGTACTTTCTTCTTCACCCTAGCTAGGTTCCTCGGTCGCCAAGCCGTCGCTTGCCCTTCACCCTTGCTTAGTACCTCGAAGCATTTCCTTGCTATATTCACCATCTCAAGCCATCAAGTCACACTTTGTGTTGAATCATTTATTAGGTCCATGATCCATCCTTTTATTTGTTTGGCAAGCTTCAAATATGAGACCATTCTATAAGCAATCCCTCATGTCTTGTCAACCAATTCTTAACGTGCTTGCTTTCTCATGAATCATAGATATCCCACAATGAATAAGCCTTGCATGAATTACATTTGCATTGTTGTCTTGTGCTTGAACTAGATTGTTTATACAACAACACATCATTTTAGCTTTTATCAAATACCTGTGAGATAACCCATTTTCTGTCTAACACTTAGTAAAACGGTTAGACCTTTAATCACATTATTATTCAATCATCCAAAACCCACTAAAGGGCTAGATGCACTTTCAATGTCCCCTCCTCCTCCTCCTCCTCTTCTGCTTTGACAACTCTATTTTTATGCCCAATTTTTAGGCAACATGAAGACGTAGAACCATGACTTTTTTCATATCTTTTGGCGCTCATGTTTTCGACGACACAAAATGATTGAGCTTTAGCTCATTTTGTTGTGAGCCTTAACTCTTGTTGTATACTTCGTTCACACGTGTTTTTAGCAACAGGTCTTAGAGCCTTGTCTCTTTTCTTATTTCCTTGGGTTGCAGGCATAATCGGCAACACAAAGATATAAAACTCTATGCTCGTTTGTCAGTTCCATTGGTTACATGCCTGATCAGGAATATAAAGATATGGAGCTCTCTACTCTTTTTCTTGGGAGCATCAGCGCACAAATTTGGTGCATGAATGCAATGATGCTTATGATAGATGCATTTGCATAGGAAAAAAACTAACAAGAAAATTTTGTGAGTTCTATAGATGTTGCTCAGCATTATTGATGTTCATGCCACAACAGTGATATGCAGCAACACCTAACATTATTCATGTTGGTAATAGTTCATGATGTTATATAGAACTTTTTGAGGAATAAGGCGGTAGTGGACTACTAACTTCAAATTTAACAAACTATGAGCGAGTGCGTTTGTGATACATCATATTTCTCGGTCCCATGATGCTAAATCGTGACGAGGTCTCGTTTAAAAAAAAATTGTTCATGTCAACAAGTGAATGGTGTAATGCTTTTCTTGCTTGTTCTGTAATCTGTATCCTTACGAGAATTTCTGGTCTAAAGCTGGGCCTTGTTTAGTTGGTCAAACTTGGAAGGTGTAAAGTTTACACAGTGCAAGATTTTTCACTGTAGCATTTCGTTTGTATTTGTGAATTATTATCAAACATTGACTAATTAGGCTCAAAAGATTCGTCTCGCAGAGTACAATCAAACTGTGCAATTAGTTTTTGATTTTGTCTACATTTAATACTCCATGCATGAACCGTAAATTTGATGTGACGAGAAATCTTCTTTTTACATAGTGCACTTTTCAGGAGTTTGAGAGTGCCCCTGTTTGATACTTCCTGTTCGAGCTGAAAAACTGGAAAAGAATGAGACGGAAAAAAAAGGAAATCCCTGCTGCTCATGTTGATGACGCGACGAGTTCACCATGCACACCTCTCGGTGCGCTCCGTCGCCGCCGTCCTGATCTGGTACACAGGCGACTCGCCGCCGTCTCTGCACCACCTCCGATTCAGGGCCTGCTGATCCACCTCCGGGCGACCAAGCCGCTCGCCGGACCGCCGGAGCTCCGCGCCGCCGAGCCCGAACTGCGGCGGGCGGACGTGCGGGTAGTCCGGGAAGCGGCGGCTGTCGGAGGGGTCGAAGAGCGGGAACGACTGGCGGCGGCGCGCGCGGGCCGCGGCGTCGTTGGCCCGCAGGCAGCCGTCGATGACCCGGCACTCGTCCCGCAGCCGGCTCTGCACCTCCTGCGCCGCCTTGCTGCTCCTGGCCGCCGCTGCCGCGGCGCGGAGGGTCGGCGGCTTGGACCACCTGGCGGCGTGGCGGTCGTGGCACGCGGCGCAGAAGCTTCCCCGCCGCTCCGTGTCGAAGGCCCGCCGCCGCGCCTGGTCCGTCAGGCACGCGTGCGCCTGCGTGCACGCGGAGATCAATTACACAGTTAGAGGCCACCACTCCACTCCACAATCCACATGATTGCTGTAAATGCTAGGAGTAGTGGTGGTGGCAGTAACAGCGGTGCGTGACGAGGTCGGATTCGAAGCGCCGGTACACGTACGGCAGCCGGCGGCACCGCGTCGCATCGGACCGGACCACGACGGCCGGCCGCGTAAGTACTAGCTACCGTGGCGGCACGGGCGATGTGTGGAGGACTCCATTAAGGGCCATGAGCAGTATCTGTAACTCTCTAATCTCTATGGTATATGGCGAATCCAACGCACGCATGCAATGCAATGCAATGCAATGCAAGACGACATGTTGGAGACGCAGAAGTTGCTAGTGCTAGCAGTTGCCGGTGTTTATGCATGTTTCCTCTCCCACAAGAATTCTCGTTCTTTTAGAGGCAAAACAATTTTAAATTTGACCACATCTATATCTATAAGAAAAAAAGGCACTACCATCTATAATATTGTATATCAAATACATATCCTTAAGATTTAGATATATTTTGATACATAAATGCTGACACAAATTTGACTTGGTTCGAATAACTGCTACTTGTTGGGATTAGGACTTTGGAGTGGATCACGGAAATGGAGATTCCAATCCAAAGCAGACGAGGCGATTCCAATCCAAAGTAGATGAGGCGAAAGCGTCACAAGGATTGAGGAGGGGGCGGCATTGCAGGAAGAATTCATTAGAAAATCATTGGGGAATGGAATGCGGGTGGTGTGGTACGGTACCTCGGAGACGATCTTGAACGCCACCTCCGCCTTGGGGTGCCTGTTCTTGTCCGGGTGCAGCTGCAGCGCTGTGTGCGTGCGTGCGTCCAAACCCACGGAACAAAATGAGCTGTTAGCAAAACGAATCAGAGATCCATTTGCGCCCACGGCGTGGCGAGATTGAGCGTGCTCACCGAGCTGCCGGTACCGCCTCCGCACGGCGTCCTCCGACGCGGCCTCGCCGATCTGCGCGTTGGTGCACGCACGGCGCCACGAACCGAAACGACTCAGAATGGGTGGGGTGAATGAATCGGAGGGAGGGAGGAGGACTGGAGGAGGGAGTGGAACGAAGTGCTCACGGCGAGGATGAGGTACCAGTCGACGAAGTGCGGGCCGCACGGGGACGACCGGCGGCGGCGGTGCGTGCAGGACGCGAACGCCGCCGACGCCGCGCACACCTCCCGCGCCGCCTGCGCCCTGGCCGCCGCCGCCGCGTCCGCGCCCGCGTCCCGCCCCACGCCAACGCCCACCATTGTTGCTGGATCGATCGGTCGCCCGCCCGCTAGCCCCGGCCGCGCCCGCGCCCGCCCAACTGGTATCTAGACTACGACGACGATCCGCGATCGGCGGGGGATGGCGGCCATGCACGAGCGCGGCGAACGCTTGCAATCCAAGATCACCCCACAACTCCACTCCCAGCAGACTCCCCAGTGGTGGCACGGCACGGCGCGCTAGTCATAGTGGGCGATCGAGGCCGAGAGCGCATGCACGTGCGCACGTCACGTACGCGCGCCGTGCGTGGTCGTGGCCATGACCCAGCAACAGCAAGCGAGTAGGAGGATCGGATCCGGGGGCGCCTGGGGTGATGGTTGTCTCGGGGGTGTACTCGGCGCGGGCGGTTGGGTCGCCGTGCGTGCGAATGCGGAAGAGAAATGCGAAGGGGAGAAGATTCGCGGTTGGGTTGGGGGGATCGATACGCTGGGTCCCCTCTGCGGGGATTGCGGGGGCGGCCGTTTCGAAACCAAACCCCAGAGACAAAAAGGAGCGCGCCGAGCAGAGCAGAGGACGCTTCTTTTTTCTCTTCTTTTTCCCGTCTCGAGCTGATCACCGTGTGTGGTGCCCGTACCGTACGTGCACGTTTGACGTTTCCTCCCTCTATTTTTATTTTGGTGATAAAGTCCTCCCTCAAGTTTTGCTTTCCTCTTCGGACGTTGGAGAGAGATTGATACGCAGCGAAATGACAAGACAACTCGGGCCAGTTTAGTTTCACTTCATTTTGCAAAATTTTTCAAGATTCTTCGTCACATCGAATTTTTAGACATATGTATAAAGCATTAAATATAAATAAAAAATAAAACTAATTACACAGTTTAGACGAAATCCACAAGACGAATCTTTTAAGCCTAATTGGATTATGATTGGGCACTAATTGCCAAATAACAACGAAAATACTACAGTAGTATTTTGCCAAAAATTTTGCAAACCAAACAGCTCCCTAATCAGGTCTGCTCCTTGATTCTCCATCGAGTGATTTTATTGGATTCGTAGGAGGAAGCGAGGCGGAGAGCTGATAAGAATGGATTCTTTGCTGATCCCTACTGGAATGTAACACGGAATAGGGTGAAGTAGATTTTTTAAGCTCCCAGCTCTCAGCGTAAATGGAGAAATGATTCTTAATTGGCATTTTAAACGTTTGGTTGATTACAAATGATTCTCTTCGGAGAACTGGAGCTGGAGCTCTCCCAAACGACCCCATACTAGCTTCCCCCAAAGAGATGCAATTCTAGTTGTACCAATGTCAAACTATTCTAAGTTTAAATAAGCTTGTAGATAATATTGTCAGCATGAATGACTCCAGATAGTATACTATAAAGATATATTTTATGATGAATCTAATATTACTTATTCAATATAAAACAAAATAACGATGTTTTTATATCTAAATAAGTTTAGTCCAACTTCAAATTGTTTGATTTAACATTATTCTAGTTCTTCAAATATTATGAGAGATAAAATATTTATTAAAAAAGAAACAATAATTATTAAAAAGAAAAAATAAATAATCGATTGCTTCCTTTTATCTCCATGTGTGCATTCCTTTTGGTTGCGACCAACTGCTGCGCACTTTATGGAAGGCCACCAGGCAAGAGAAAAATTTGCAGTCTAAAATCAACTTTCCATGACATGCTATTTTATGTTTCTTAATTAGGCATGGTCACGTCGCAACAAAAAAAAATGTTACAATACAATCACACGATGAATAACATTTTTACGTTGAAGTGAAACCAATTTCTATTTCCCATTCATTGTCACGTTCCATCAAATAAAAAATTTATGTTCTTTAGCACTACTTCAGCGGTACTTTTAAGCGAACGAACTATGTTTTTCTCTCACAACAAATTAGCTTAACAATCAATATAAGCCAAATTTCAGCGAAATGAACAGGGCCATTATTACCAAATCATGTTGGGATCACATTTTATATTTTTAGATACAAATCAGCGTTACACCAATGTGTATGGTCGAGATGGCGGATTATAGAGGTGGATAGTCTTTTCCAAAATTAATTGCACCGGCTAACCGGAACAAATACAAAATTAAAACTAACGATCTAGCCAAGACTACACCCCTCTATCTATGTTCTCAAGCATCTAAAAGGATCATAAACTAGCAACTAAGGTGCCAGGCTAGCTAGAGCTTACCTAACCAATTCTAGGAGCATAGTCACACAAACCTATGTCAGTAGTAATTCAAGCAACGCGAGAGCTCCTACACATGCTAGTAAGCAAAAGCACAAAGCCACCTAAGCGCACTAGCAATGCTCAATAATAAGGCTACACAAACCAAATTAGAGAGCGCAAATTATTTAGCTACACAAACTAAACAATATGACCAACAAGGTTACTCAAACCGAATTAGTCACGCAAGGGAGCTACTTCTATGCTACACAAGCAAGTAGGTAACTAGCAAGCTATACAAGCTAACTAATTACAAGAGCAACTACACAAGCACAATATATATAAATGTAAATAAAAAACTTATGTAACGGGGATGCAAACCAATGGGAAGACAAGAATGATACGGTGATTTTTATCCCGAGGTTTACGTGTTTGTCAACACGCTAGTCTCCGTTGTGTCGACCGCTCACTTGGTGGTTCGGCGGCTAATTGGCATCACCCGTCAAGCCCACATGTTGGGCACCGCAAGAATATCTCCCAAAAGTGAGGGTAGCTTAATGACACGCACAACTAGAGTTCCTCTTCGCGGCTCCCGCGGGGCGAGCACAACACCCCTCACAATCACTTCTCCAGAGCACCGCGCAATCTTCCTTGCGTGCTTCGACGGAGACCATCACCAAGCCATTAGGAGGTGGTAACCTCCAAGAGTAACAAGCATCACCAGCTTGAAACTCGAACACCTAGTGCCACTCGATACAATCTCACAATGCAACGCAGTAGAATCACTCACTCGCAATGGATTCGCACTTCTCGCAAGCACAAGTGAGTTAGAGGCTTCTCAAACCAAGCACACACAAGGGAAACACATCCCCAAGATGCTCAACCTCAGCCAAATAGAGCCAGGGGAGCCAAGTAGCACATTTCTGTGTGGTCACCGGACAGCAACATGCGAGAACCGGACATAAGGTGGCGGTGCCCAACTGTCAAATTGCAACGGCTATTTCAAACTAGCTGTTGGGACCCTAGCGGCGGACATGGGGGGTGGTGCACCGCCCTAGGGGTGGCGGTGCCCCCAACGAGTTTTCCCCCTCTCTGAAAAAAGGGGCGGTGCCACACCGCCATGGTCATCGGACAGTCCAGTGACCCTAGCTTGCTCCAAATTGAGATCCACCACTTCAGACTTGTAGAGCATTTTATTAGCTTTCCAAAAAGTTCTAGATCATCGAAATCGGATATCGGAGCTAAGAGCTATGCTCGGAATACGAAAGGGTGGCAGTGCTGAAATGGGCATGCTGCAGGAGGTGGCGGTGCACCTTGCCTAGGGTGGCGGTGCCACCGCCCTACGGTGTCCGGCGCACACCGGAAAGGGCGGTGCCACCCCCCAAGAAGGGTTGCGCGTTGGCTACAAGTTCGGTTGCGTTTTCCGACCCTTGGACAACCCAAACTAACGCTTTTCTTCTTCTTTTCTTCTCCAAGTTGATCCAAATCAACTCAAACAACTTCTTCTTTACAAATGTGCCAACACCACCATGTGTTCACCATCTTGTGCATGTGTGTTAGCTTTTCACAAACATTTCCTAAAGGATTAGCGGTCAATTCACCACACCATTCGATCCTAGCAACGATGCAAAGTTAGATCACTTGAGTGGCACTAGATGACCGATATGCGAACAAGTTTGTCCCTCTTTATAGTACGGTCATCTATCCTAAACCCGGTCATAAACTTCTCTACATACCTATGACCGGTGAAATAAAATGCCCAATAGGTTATACCTTTACCTTGCGCATTCCATTCCATCTCCTCCGATGTTGATGCAACACATGCACCAACCTTGATTAACAAATGATATGATCCACTTCATATCATCATGTGACCTTGTTGGTTCATCGATCTTGATCTCATTTGCTTTTCACCGTTGCCTTCGTCCATCGGCGCCAAGTCTTGCTCAAGCTTCACCGCCACACGGTCCATCGCTCCAAAGCCTCCAACTTGCCCTTTATGCTTGCAACCGGTCCATCAAGCCAAGCCTTGTCTTGATCTTCTCCACCTTAGTCATATGACTCAATGTCATATCTCATATGCAATGAGCTCTTTTCATCACATGTGTGAGCCTTACAACAAATCTAAGAAATCTTCACCTCCATGGCATAGGTTGCTCACACATGATGTACTTGTTGACTAAAGGCGTGTTTAGATCCAAAATTTTTTGGGTTTTGGCTACTGTAGCACTTTCGTTTGTATTTGGTAATTAGTGTCTAATTATAGACTAATTAGGTTCAAAAGTTTCGTCTCGCGATTTCTCATCCAACTGTGCAATTAGTTTTTTTTCCGTCTACATTTAGTACTCCATACATGTGCCGCAAGATTTGATGTGACGGTTACTATGCAAAATTTTTTGGGAACTAAACGGGGCCTAATTCACCTGTGTATTATACTTAAACACATATTAGTCCATCTAGGTTGTCACTCAATTAGCAAAACCAAACCAAGACCTTTCATAGTGTCATCTTACATTAGGCACGAAAATTAAATTAGGTATAGTAGTTAGATCATAGAAAAGATGTTCACATATACAACGTTACAGAAATGTTTTTGTTTCCCAAATTTGTTAACGTGAACGTTACAACACTACTGTATGCATGGGGTTCAATAATTTGGCTAATAGACATCTAATTAAAAGATATATTTTGCCTCCTTTCCAGATTAAAATAATATATAAAAAATCATTTCTATGATTACCTTCTAGGTGGTAATATGTTATTTAGTCTTCTAAATCGACGTTCTAAGGTTATTTAAGAGTACTGTAGCAAATAAAGCCCTATTGTATACTTGTGTTTTCTTTTTAGAATGGAGA